ATGTAGCATTTTCTGACCCATTAAACCTGATTCTATGGGTAATTGTGTTGGTGCTTTTCTCCTTCCTGGGTCTGACACATGCTGTGACTCTAAATGCTCCAAGTTCATCTGAACGCAATTCACCATGAACTTACCTTCTATGAAATTCAGTCCTGCATAAACAGTCCTGGCTGGTTTTATATTAGAGAGCCCTTGACCTCCCACAAGAATCACAATACAAAGAGGTTTCTTCCCAAAGACGGTCACATGGCTACTCATAACCTGGTTAGCACTGGAGCCGGCGCGATGACAGTAACTTTAAACTCCATAAATGAACTTTAAGTTGGAGACAGATCCTGGGCAATCTTTAAGATGCTCCATCTGTGCTTAAGTAACTTGGCCACTAGATGTCATCACTTTTTCACTGAAATGACGGTGAAAGAAGTATTTACCTGGCAGTATAAGGGGCATCGGCGTCACCCACCCTTTTCTGGCACAAAGTCCGAGGCTTGGGATACTGCAAATCAGATTGGGCAAGCCATTTATAAAACATACAAGAAGGAGCAATCCTATTGGCAGGGACTAGTACCATATGGCCCACGACCGATATCTGACTCTTGTGGCTCTACTAAAATTGCAGGCATCCTACACTGCGATACATTTGGTATTGAGCAAAAACATACAGTCAAATGTATTTGATATGACAGACAACAGATGGACATGTCCTTTAAAGTGGCAAACACTATATAAGCTGGGATAACATTTACAGCAGACCAAGGCACAGATCCTCAAGGACAATTAACTCCCCTTAGGGACCTAAGTACCTTGGAGGGCCCGAGTACTCTCATTTCAGCTGTTTACCTCCTAGTGATTTCAACTCTCCCATTGATTTAATCTTCCCTGAGATTTAGGCGCCTAAGAAGGAGTTAAGTGCCTAAATAGCTTTGGTGAGCTGTGCCTGTGCGACTCGGAGGCGAGATACTGGGATTACTCAGGGACTTCCTGGGCAGTGCCGAGTTCCCTGAAGGCAACGGGAGATGAAGGAAGTCAGAACCTCAGACGATGCTCTTGGCACCTCATACATCTCAGCTAAGTATCGAGCAAATTGTGTTTTTTGGCAACAGCCATGAAACCCACTGGAGCTTGGAAGGTGGAACCAAAGGCAGCATCTGCTCTGAAGTAAGAAATAGTGAAATACCATATATGATGGAGTGAAAACGGAGTGTCCTAGGATACGATGCACATGCTTTCTATACACCTAAAAGAGCACTCAAGTGACAGACTGCAGGGCAGACTGGGCTGTGCATGGTGCTGAGCAAAAAGCCTGCAGCCTTGTTCCCCTGCTGCCGCTTTTGGTCATCAGAAGAGGAAAAGGCCTGTTTTCAGTTAAAAATCTGTTTTCCCCTAGCTGGTGAAATCTGGCTCGACGGACACACTCACGCTAATGTAAACAGTGGAAACGTGCTAATTAATTCCCCGTTTATCGGTCTGACTTTGGCAGACGAGAACCTGCGGCAGGTTCATTTTTCATAACATCGTCGTGCAAGTTTAGGACGCAGCACTACTCAGATCTCTGACCGGATGTTGATCACTAAGCAAATCTTTCTGTTAAGAAACGGAGTAAGTCATTTTACCTCTCACCTTTCCTTATTTACCCTTAGATCGCATTTTCTCGGCCTTTGCATTTTCTCCCTCCACACAAAGAAGCCGGATTAATAGTCTTAAAGCACAGAATAATAAACACTTTTATTGCACTAATACAGGAAAGATGCTCAGCTGATGAAAAACAGATGCGTCATAGTGCAGATACTTATACTACCTACACATACACACAAATAAGTCTATTATAGTTATCAGGAAAAATATACAATTTACTGGATAATTGTTCCCATTCAGACTATTTACTACTACTTTTGAAATTTTATCCACTCTACTAAATCCAAGAAATCTCTTGTAGCTCAGGATTTAACTCCGAAGTAATAACTCTGATATGTCGACAACCAATTGCTGTGAAACAACTGTATCCTCCTTGGTGCAATCAGACACAGTCTGCTTGCCATATTCTTTCAGCTCTTTTAATGCCTCAGTGAAACTGGTAGCCAAATAGTTTTGCTAGTTCATGAATCATTCTCCTTTTCCCCCCCGCTTTTGCTGGAAGTCTTTGTTACACAGATATCTATCAAGTCCTTTCTGTCTGCCAGACCAGCAAACAGAGACGAGTGATATCAAATGTCCATGAATTACAAACACGTTGCATGTCCATGCATCATTGTGCTGATGTATTGATACTTACAGTGCTGGTAGTGAATTCTGGTGGATTGTCATTCACATCTGTCACCGTAATGATTGCAGTTGCTGTGTTTGAGAGACCATAGTTAAGATTTCCTTCCATATCTGTAGCTTGAACGATGACTATGTATTGCTGAACTTTCTGGAAAAAAAAGAAAGAGACAAAAATGCTTTGCTTTATGTTTTTTAAATGTAATGCTTTGCAATTTTAAAATTGTTTTTTTGATACCATGCTTTATCTTTTTGCCATATATTTGCAGCTTAAAGGCAAATCTAGATGTTATTTAGACTCCAAATGCTGATAACAGGGGTGGGGGAATATTTACCATCCAAACATTTTCCAATTGAAAATTGAGTTGTTGAATATTTTTGTGGGACACCTCTGCTTCCCTCGGAAACTTCACGTTTGCTTTAGAAAACTGAAAAGCCTTAAGGCAACGTTCTGTAGCTAAAAACAGGGGTTTTTTTTCTTTCTTTTTTTTTTTTTTTTGAGTTGTTAAGCAGTTTTTGGCTGAAAAAAAATGTTTAGCAGTTAGTTGCTGAAAACCCAAACATATTTAGCTTTTTGCTTTTTGTCAAATGGTGAAATGTTGTGCACTCGAAATATTGCCAAAAGCTAAAATCCAAACGGGATGTCAAAACCTTTCACAAGCCCACGTCCTCATGTTCCAGCCAGCACAGGGAAGCTGATTTGCTATTCACAAAGTGTTCTGATACTCAGTCACAGAAGGTTTGATACAGAGAATAGCTGAGATTCACAACAGTCAGAGGTAATTAACAGTAAATTAACTTCAACTTTCTGGATGTACCAAACAATTTGGTTCAAAGAGTACTCTTAAATGGCAAGCCTCGTGTATCAGACATAATTCACTTAATAGACTGCTGAAGGGAACTTAGATTTTACAGCGATAAGCTTGATATAAGAACTTGAATAGAACAGGACAGAAATTGGACCTGACCCTCAATGCGCACAAAATCCCTGGGAGTCAGCTGTATTTATGAATATTTGCCTGAACTGAGACAAGCCTCCTCTCCTTTAGAGTTGAACATAGTGATAAATCTTCATTTTAGACCTGCACAACGCATTATTAATGTTTATATACAGAGTGCTAATCACATGTAGAGCATTTTCTAGGTAGTTATGAAAACAAGGTTCTTGCCCTGAAGCGTGTACGACATAAATCATGTGCAGAGATTGAGGAAGCCACCCAGTCCAAAGCAGCGCGACTGCGAAGCAAAGCAAAGCAAAGCCTCAGCTTGCCTCTCTGCAGTGCTGGGAAAGACGCTGCAATGGCAAAGGCTTTTGGACCTCCCCCACCTCGGTTGGCAAGACTGGCTGTGGGAGGGGGGGGATCCTCCAAATTGGCAAGATTGACCATAGGGAACCGCCCCCACCCCGCAGTTGCTGACTGGTTGCTGGTGGGGGGGGGGTGCACGTGCCTCCCCGACTAAGGTGTCACCAGTTGCCCATGTCAAGAAGGAAAGGATGGAAGCCATGATGGACTTGCTCAAGGTACAAGAGACTACAAAGATGTAAATGGAGACACAAGGCATGACTGCTGATGACTTGGGAGAAGTCAAGGGAAGGACGAAGGGAGTGAAAGGTCATAAAGGCCGGGTGTTACCCAGGAACTACCTTGTAGAGCTCAGACAATCAGGACAAAGAAGGGGAAGGGAGGCAAAGGAAGTGAACTGAGTGGGTCAGATGGTCATCACCAGAACAGCTGGCACTGGTAGAACCCAACCCATGCTTTTGTGGCGCAAAGGAGCAGAAACTCTGTATAGTTTTCACCTTCTGATGCTAGATGTAGTTGCTTCGATGCTAAGAAAAAGGAGTTTCTGGTGAGAATTAGGTCATGGTTTCTTTGTCCCTATTCAGATACCGTTGCAATACTGTAACCGATCTTACTCTTTCTTCCTCGCTGGTATTAACTGGAGGCCAGAATTTCAGCCTTATCTCAACTCTGGCTCTTTTCAATGACCAGTATTAACTTTCTGCTGGGTGTAACTGTACAAGACACCACACACCAGGTTTCACCAGCCCATTGTAACTGGAAACTATGCTGGAAGCTATAGCAGGTTCATGTAATTTCATAGTACTTCACATGAGATCTCTTGTTACCAAAGGAGCAACTGGGCAAGGCAGAGGACTGTGGACCAGGAGAGTATGGTGAAGCTTTAGTTCTCCCATCTGCAGGGAGAATACAACCTACTTTCCATGCATAATCCATTAATGTTTATAAAGCATTTTGATATCCTAAGGATGGAAGGGGCTGCATCATCATTATTAATGAATGAAATCTCTATTTATTTATTATGAATTTCTCTGCCTCTCTAGAGAGAATCTATGTTACCGATATTAGGGTTTGTAAACAGCCCAAGTGTTCCTACAATGAATTAGCTTTAAAATGTGGAAGAGGGAGGAGGGCAGAAAAGAGAGTTTCCACATAATGCTAGCAATCAGCTTCGAAGTAAATTAGAAAAATAAGCTGGAAGTCTGTATTACAAACTACACGCCAATAATGCACTTAAATAGTGAAACCACCTCTAATGTTCATCACTGAAGTGAGATGTGAAGCCAGTAATTTAAAGTTTTTCTTATTTGATGGTATAGCTGTCGCACATTATTATCAAGGCTTCAGTGCCTCAGTAACCACAGCAGAAGAAAAATGTTCCTTCCTTTCCATCAAAGAGTGGGGCGATAAAACATCCTTCATCCGTGGGATTTTTTTTTTTTAAACTTTGCAGTCTTCTATTTTACCTTGTTTGCAAACTGACCTCTTTCTAGTCGTTGGGCTTAGAGGTTACCACCTACAGGTTTATCGAGCGGAACAACCTGGGACTGTCAGAGTCACTCACTGCTCTTGTCTCATCGTCTTGCCTCCAGGTAGGGCACTGCAAAGGCAGTTTGGTTTCTATGTCAAAAGCAATTCTGAAACTCATGACACTGTTATGCAAACTTTCATCTAACTCCAAGAATGAACTACTGACCTTGGATAAGGTCACACCAGAGCTATACGGTGCTTCGTCATTATGGGCTCACTCCAGCAAAGCTCCCATTGACACTACTTCTTTTCTGTTTTACTTTGTTTCCTTTTTTTTTTTTTTTAAGCTGTAAGTTATTTTAAAATCCCTTTTCAGAGGTAAAGAAAATATTCCAACAGAAGACCACGGAAAGAACTGGAAAGTCTCACTTAGGAAGCTGTTGCCATTGAACCACTGCTCCTTTGGATATCCAGAGTCCATCCTTGCTAACTTGAGAGTCATGGTACAGCTTTTAAAAAAAATTATTTGGGAAGGTCCCTGTTGTGAAATATCTAAGTGCACTGTAATAAAAAAAACCCCAACATAACATAAAACCTTACATGAAAGTAAGGGAAAACATAATAAAGAATAAACCAATTAAATATAATACAAAGTATGAAAAATAGGGACTAATTTAGGAGCGTGCTGTCAACTAACCCCACCCACTGAGAGAGAATTCTCGACATGGAAGAAATACAGGGAAAGTAAAAGAGAAGCAGAGACAAAAACAAGGGAAGGGGATCTTCAGAAAGGCAGAAATACAATACAGAAGTTGAAATAATGGTAGTCTTAGCAGTCAACCTTGAGGAAAGTGGTGGAGCCTAATTTTTCACCTCCAGCCCTGACCCCTAACACTAGCTCTGTGACCCCAAGCCTGGGAAGCCCTACCACGTCCAACTCTAAACCTAGTGCACACAGCTCTAGTAGCTACATCCCTAACCATAGCCCAACCTCCCCTGTCTTCCACAGCCCTAATCCTAGCTCGGTGAGCCTTAGCAGCTCTACCTGGTGACCCTAACCCCAACCCAAACCTCAGCTCCAGAGCCCGTTAGTCACTACCTTTGAAACACGAGGTTGACATACCAGCCCCACCACTTGCTCTACCTCTCTGAGGCCTAAGAATTGCATCCCTAAAATAGGGATCTGTAGCAGCTTCAGGACAACCCTAGCCTGGAGAGCCCTTCTAGCTACTGTCTTAACCCTAACACAGCATGCCTAATTGCATGGCTCTAACCCCATTCTCAACCCTGATCCAAATCCAGAGAGCCCTAGCAGCCAAAACTAATTCTAGGCCAGTTTTAGAGTTGTTAAAGTCAGCGAGGGACTCCAGGAATTGGGATGGTATAATATATATAGGACTCTTTATAGAGAAAAAATGGTCATTTAATAGCGAGAAGAAGGGAAGACCAGTATTGGCTGTACTACTGATAGTCAAGGGAGCTCCTGTTGACTTCAGTGGGCCCACTTAGACGCTTGAAATTAAAATGTATATAAATGCTGCATGCAATGGGGTTGCAGGGGTCAGCATGTGGTCCATCATCCCACAGAAGTCCTAGCTTGTTTTGAAGTCCCATTCCCTGTTTGAGGAGTCAGGTAGGAATTTAATGGAGCATTGCACCCGCTCGCCTTCTGAAACTGCGTGATTTCACAGTGCATCAGGAGCAACCCACAGCACCACCGAGATGAGAAAGTACAATTTCCCATCAGCTTCAAAATGAATATATGAAATGCTTCATACTAATTACTATAAACCTTCTGGGGCTTCTCTTACTTGTTACATGACAAATGTGGATTCCTGTTTAGTGAATCATAGTCAGATGCCTTTGGACCATATAAAGTTCGTCTCTGGAGGAATAGTGAAAATTCAGATTTTCTTCTGCTCTTTATGTATAAACACCTGGGGGGGGGGGGGACCCTTTTTTTGCGTTCTGCTCTTTATGTAAAAACCCGGGGGGGGGGGGGAACCCTTTTTGTCCAAAAATCACTCCATGTTTATGTGACTAGGGTTTAAGGGAAGAGGTTTCATGTATTATGACCTCTTTCCTCAACACAAATCAATATCCCTGAGCTGACGTGCTACAAAGCCAAAAACAAAGGAGTCTGTGACCTGGAGAAGATTACAGTTATTATACGTGGCTATCTCCATCAAGATACAGATGGGCACGAAAGATCTCTTTTCCAAGAACCTGACTCGAGTAAAACACGTAACTGCTGTGAGAGGTTATAAACGTGTGTAAAATACACTTAGAAAAAGGTTCTCTACAGGAGTTAAGCCCTTTTAAAACAAACTAATAATGTGATTTCCAGTCTAAATTTTCAAAAGCTCATGCACAATAT